CGTTCAGATGCTTAATCTGGACCCCGGGCAAACAATGCACTGCTGTGCGCTGCGATAACACGCGACTCCTTAAACACTGACCCCGCGTGTAATCTGTCAGCGGAGAGCCGCGCTGCCAAGTCACGATCGGGGAGTCTGCAAGGTCGCGAGCGAGCGTCAAGAGGGTCGGGGGGCATCTCCTGGGCTCGGAGTCAGGCCTGGTGAGCAGTCAAGCTGCCCGTATGCTTCCAAGTCCCGAGGCGCTGAAGCCCGAGGATGGATCCATGACGAGCTCGGTTATTTGTTCCTCTGGCTCTTCTCCGCCTCCATCAAAGCTGCAGCTTCCAAAGATGCTATTTAAGGGCTTAGAAATGTTAGACATCGGAAATTAGTTTCACCTATTAGGACAGGAACGGGATTAGAGCAGCGTGGGAGCCGGGGCCCAGAGCAAAGGTTTTATCAGCCGGTTCCAGTTCTTGCTTCTTCAGGAGGGAAGATGACTCGGTGCGGCTTCTCCTCTCCGGAGCGGCCGCGCGTCCATCAGAGGGCACTGCCAGGCCGACCCCGCGGACACACGTATCACCGTTACAGGAAGAGTTCATTCCCATCACCCAACAAGAACTCCATGTCCAGGATACCGGCCCTCCCACTCCATGTTTTCCTTTCAGAACTTGGCACGGCGGGTTTGGCGCAATTACAGTGCCAGGAATTTCAACACATCAATCTTTTACATGAGGAGAATTTACCGCATGAAATACGCTCATCATACAAAGAAACCTAAAACAGAAGACTGCAGAGGAGGGCGGCATGGGGTGAAAGGAGGAGGAGGGCGGCATGGGGTGAAAGGAGGAGGAGGATGGTAAGGGGTAGGAGGAAAAAGAGGCAGCAGGCAGACATTGCTGGGGATACCTATCAAAGCTAGACAGGGCAATAAGGGATGGAGGGTGAGGGTGCTATGAGGTGGAGGAGGAAGAGGGCAGTACGGTGTGAAGATAGAGGAGGCCAATATGGGGTAGGAGGAAGGAGCTGTAGGCCGAGATTGCTGGGGATGCTCATCCTAGGCAGGCAGGTCTAATGCTGGCCATAAACGGAGAACATGATGTCCGGTACTTGGTGAACGAGCCGAAATTCTCTCCCACCCCAGCCCCCCACCCGACATCGTTCAATCACAAAGGCAACCTTCCCATCGGAGTTCTGGTCCAGCGGAGGGACCAATGTCCGCGCCATTAAACAGCTTCTTCCTGCCGCCTCCGGGAGAGTTCTCCGTATAACACGAAGTATCATTAGTTACAACATCTTTTTGTTGGTTGCGCAATATTCGCACTTCTCACCCCGAACGGATCGCTGACAATGGCCGTAAAGAATGAAAACTCCTCAGCGTGCGAGATGGAGAGGAGTCATTAACAGATCAATCGAGTCCGATGTGATGGAAGAGGAGTCACGAACAGATCAATCAGATCATATCTGGTGGAAGAGACGCCATGAGATCAATCGGCAAGATACAGATCACCGGCGGCACTGCGGGACTCGCAACAAACACCGGCGTGCCGCGGGAGCGGAGAGAGACGACGGCCTTTATAAGCGTGTCAGAAGGAAGCCTCATCTCCGGGCTGCTGTGGTGTCTCCTGGGCCGGATTTCTGTCCCTCCACCCAACGGGTCAACGAAAGATTTAACCTGCTAATGTCACACTTGTCCTCGAGATTTATTGTATCAAGAGAAGAAGAAATGCCGCCTTGCGTCCTGTAAAGATCAATGGGAATGCGATCTTGTCCCTCAGACACGAGTTATATGAGAGAGACGTCAACGACCTTCACGGATTTACAGATATTGCCATTTACGTACAAGAGCCGTCGCCGAAGCCCGTTGTAGGCAGAGAACCCGTCCAATGACTGCGGGGAGATGTCTCCGATCAGAAGGTTACATAGTATTTGGGGTTGAATAAAGACAAACGTCCATCAAGTCCAACCCATATCGGTCCGCGCATCATCTCATTCTTAGGGGTACTGGTACCCCCGGATATTACCTGTACCCCCGGATATTACCTGTATCCCCGGATATTACCTGTATCCCTGGATATTACCTGTACCCCCGGATATTACCTGTACCCCCGGATATTACCTGTACCCCCGGATATTCCCTGTACCGCCGCATATTACCTCTCCCCCCGGCAATTACCC